ATTGGGGACTTACATACAGGGGAGAGAGTCCAGTGGTGGCGGGCTGGACGGGAGAACCACAATGGCTTGCAAAAAGCATGCAGTTTACATAGCATTTCCACTTAGCACCTTCTCCCTAACAATCTCTACCTGGCAAACTTCACTCAACCCAGAACTCGGGCCCTCAACCTGTGTGCGGCCCATGTTTCAAAGGATGAGCCAGGGGCTCAGATGTCCCTTTATAGACAAGGAAGGAACCTCCAGGTTGGCTGCTCCTGGATTCCCTAGCTCAGAACACACATTCAGATGCGTCTGCCATACAGGGTCATTCTAAGGGTATGCTTCAGTTATTGCTATCAGGCACGTTTACCACATGCTCCCAACACCCAATAGAGTGAAGACACAAAAATTAAAAATTAAAAAGCCAAAAGTTCACCAGCATCAACCAAATAAGGGAAACAAACATGCTAAAATTGTAAAAAGAGTCAGCCAAGAGGAAAAAATAGAAAATTCTTCCACCTGTATTCCCTGAAACTAGTAACCTGGAAAGAAATGTCATGCTGAGATTCTCATAAATACCCTCCAATTGTGAGAAGCCAACAGGGGAGTGGGTGAGCAGCTCTGAAAAAGTTAAGGAAAGCCCTTGAGGGCAGAAGCCCATGCATATCACAGATGCTCGGGAGTGGCAGGGCAGGCAAGCAGGGCAGGCCACCTTCCAGGGTGCTGGGCCATCCTTGAGGACTACCCAGATCCTGGAGTGGTGACAGAGGGACACCACTGGCTGGTGGAGGGGGCTCTGGGACAAGACTTTAATGGAGTCTGGGAAGATAGAACAGAGGCTAGCCCTCTCACAAGGAGCTCACTCAGCATGAGTTCTCTCCTGCACCTCTTCAGGGTAGAATAGAATAGAGAGAAAGCAACCTAACATTTGAAGTGGGGAAGACAACCAGTTCCACGTAAGTGGGGAGAATGACAAGGAGAAGGGGTCTCACTATGTTGCCCAGGCTGGTCTTGAACTCCTGAACTCAAGTGATCCTCCCACCTCAGCCTCCAAAGTGCTGGGATTACAGGTGTGAGCCACCACACCTGGCCTAAAAAATTTATTTTAAAAAAGGAATTTATCTCTTACAGTTGTGGAGGCTGAGAAGTCCAAGGTCAAGGGGGCCACATGTGGTGAGAACCTTCTTGCTGGTGGGGACTCTGTGAAGTCCACTTACACTGTATCTGAGCAAGTAAAAGGTGGGGATAATGTAGGTGCTGACATCAAGCATGGATAAGATGAAAACAAATGGCATGGAAACTAGGCAAACATACCACAACCAACAGAAGGACAGAAAGAAGGAGGGGAGGAAGGAAAAGAAAACCCAGGAACTCAGCCTGGGAGAAAGTGGCTTCTCCATGGCTATCTCAAGCTATGGATGATTCAAGAGAAGTAAAAATCTAATATAAAAAAGCTCAAAGACAAGATAATATACCACAGAATAAGATGAAAAGATTGCAGAGCGAAGGAAACAAATTTAGATCCAAATGGCACCCGTAATGAGCTAGTAGATAAACTAGAGCAGTAAAGAACAAAATAGACATGACTGAAAATTGAGTAAGGCATAGAGTAAAGGTCTGAAATTATTTTAGTGAATACAGGGAAAAAAGAAAAAAAAAATCCTATCACACAATCAAAAGAAATGTGATAAATATGGAAGGCAAAGGTGATGAAACAAATAACTAATTTCCTGAAATAGAAAATCCAGTAAGTATAACAGAGAAAATATTCAGAAATAGAAATCAAAAAATTATCCCTGATTTGAAGGAAGGAGTAAATCTGGCCTCAGTATTCTCCAAAACCATATTCAAAAACCAGAAGGCAGTCAGGCATGATGGCTCATGCCTATAATCCCGACACTTTGGGTGGCCGAAGCAGGAGGGACACTTAGGCCCAGGAGTTTGAGACCAGCCTCAGCAACACAGTGAGACCTCAACTCTATAAAAAATTTAAAAATTAGCAAGGCATGGTGGTGAATGCCTATAGTCCTAGCTACCTGGGAGGCTGATGTGGGAGAAATGCTTGATCCCAGGGGATGGAGATGTGAGCCATGATTGTACCACTGTACTCGAGCCCGGGCCTGGGTGACAGAGCAAAAACCCTGTCTCCAAAAAAACCAAACAACAAAAACAAACAACAATAAAAAACCAAACCAGAAGGCAATTGATCAGAAATGTCTAAAAAGATCTCAGTATACCCAGTTATGTCTTTTTTTCTTCCTTTTAAACACTTTTATTTTAATTAATTTATGTATTTAGAGATAGGGTCTCACTTTGTCACTCAGGCTGGAGTGCAGTGGGCACAATCATGGCTCACTGCAATCTCAATCTCCCAGGTTCAAGTGATCCTCCCACCTCAGTCTTCCAAGTAGCTAGGATTACAGGCATATGCCACCATGCCCGGCTAATTTTTTGTTTTTTGTAGAGATGGGGTCTCACTATGTTGCCCAGGCTGGTCTTGAACTCCTGAACTCAAGTGATCCTCCCACCTCAGCCTCCAAAGTGCTGGGATTACAGGTGTGAGCCACCACACCTGGCCTAAAAAATTTATTTTAAAAAAGGAATTTATCTCTTACAGTTGTGGAGGCTGAGAAGTCCAAGGTCAAGGGGGCCACATGTGGTGAGAACCTTCTTGCTGGTGGGGACTCTGTGAAGTCCCAAGGCGGCACAGTGAGGGGGCTGAGCATGACAGCATGCTATCTCTTTTCAAGTATAAAGGTAACAGGCAGAAATTCTCAAACATAAATGAGCTTAAAAATACAACACATTCCAGCTCTAATCATAAAAAACCACTGGACAATTGTGATCCTTGAGCATTCTGAAACAAAACACAAAAAACCACCAGACAAGAAATCCTGCCCTCCAGCACTTGTGAAGGTGAAAGCGAAGTAAGTTGTGAACACGAAATACACTGAAACGTAGGACCCACACTGTAGCTGAAGGAATGATGAGTGCAGAACAGATAATAATAAGACTAACAACAAAAATTAAGGTCGGGGAAAGATAAGAATGGGTAGAAATTTAAGTACTAATTGCCTTATCTTTCACTGTAGGAAGTCAAATATTCTGTTCTCTATATATGAAATTAAATGTAGTATGTTCTGGTTTAAAAACAATAGCATATATAATATATCCTATTTTTTGAAACTATTTCCATTTATCTTGTTATCCTTTAAACTAGACATCTGAAAAGAAACACGTCTAGAATGATGGGCACCAAAAGTTAACACTGTTCCTTTCTGAAAGGTGGGATATTGAGGGATTAGTTAATGATGGTTAGAAATCTTTAGGAGCTATGCTTATGAATGATTTTTCCCCTTTTCTCTGCTTTCTTATATATTCTGTATTTTGAAATGCATCCATATACATTAAAACAAAAAACAAAAAAACATCTGAATGCTCTGGCCATAGTTTAGATAAATCATGAGACAATTGAGGATGACAAAAAAGAACAAGACTGAGAAAAGACTCTGCCACAGAGAAAACCAAACTTGTTTAAAGGCAAACGAGCAGATATTAGCAGAGAAAAAGCAGACTGAGAAGCAAGGGCCCTTGAAATGAGTAAGTGTACCACCAGTTCACTAATAAACCCCATCTAAATGCCAGTAACTCCCAAATTAATACCTCCATACCAGGTCTTTCCCTGAACCCCATATTCCTATCCAACTACTTACTCACGAGCATAGTTGGCCCTCCCTACATGTGGATTCTACATTCATGGATTCAACTAACCACGACTGAAAATATCAAGCATCTGTACTGAACATGTATAGAACTATTTTTCTTGTCATTACTCCCCAAACAATACAGTACAACTATTTACATAGTGGTCACATCTTGCCCCTACATCTATTCTCTAAACAGCAGCTAGAGTGATCCTTTTATTTATTTATTTATTTATTTATTTATTTATTTATTTGAGAGGGAGTCTTGATCTGTCACCCAGGCTGGACTGCAGTGGTACGATCTTTGCTCACTGCAACCTCCATCTCCTGGGTTCAAGCAATTCTCCTGCCTCAGCCTCCCGAGTAGCTGAGATTACAGGTGCCCACCACCCTGCCTGGCTAATTTTTGTGTTTTAGTAAACACAGCATTTCACCATGTTGGTCAGGCTGGTCTTGAACTCCTGACCTCAAATGATGCAACCGCCTCGGGCTCCCAAAGAGCTGGGATTACAGGCGTGAGTCACTGTGCCCAGCCTAGAGTGATCTTTTTAAAGCATAGATCAGATCACAGCATTCCTTTGCTCAAAACTCTCCAAAGGCTCACATCTTACTCAGAGTAAAACCCAGTCTCTACCATGCCCTGTAAGGTATCATACCTTATGATTTCCAGCACAGGTTCCTGCCTCAGGGCCTCTGTGTTTGCTCTTCCCTCCATCCAAAATGTTTTCCCCTGAGTTACAAGGTTCACTTTCTTACTTCTTTCAGATCTCTTCTCCAATAATGTCAGAGAGCAGTTCCTTGACTTTTCTACTAAAATTCCATCCCCACACCCTTTTCCTGCTTTATAGAGAGCAAGAATTCTGTCTCTTTCTTTATAGGTATCTCCCTAGAGCTTAAAAAAGTACCTGACACAAAACAGACACTCATTTGTTAAATGAATGAATTGATAAAAGAACCCAGGATTTTATTATTCTCAAAATATTATAAAGTCTTTTTATTGATCAGACTACTTGCATCACTATAATTCAGACAAATATTATTTGTTCTTAGTAAGCAGTACATGTAAGTTATGAAAATCTCTACCAAGCCTAGGAATAAAGGTTGGTTTCTGGTCAATTCCACACATGTGTGTTTGATGAAGGAAGGAGTTGTCACCAAAATCAACCAACACAGACCTTAGTCAGCGGAAAAGAGAGCTCTGGCTGCCTTATCGCCTATTTATGAGACTTCAGAAACTAATGTTGGCTTTAGAAAAAAAAGACAAAAAGGAAAAAAAAAAAAAAAAGAAAACATAAACTAATGTTGGCTTAACTGTACCTGTCCCTGTTGGGTCACCTCCTTGGATCATGAAGTCTTTGATAATTCTGTGGAATTTTGTGCCATTGTAGTAACCTCGACGAGCCAACTCAGCAAAGTTCTTACAGGTCTTTGGAGCATGCTTCCAGTACAGCTCCAGCACAATGATTCCCATGCTGCAGAGGGAGAGGACAACAGCTCCAGTAAAGAACAAGGTCAGGGCAGACAGGAATATTACGGGACTGCTCCAGGACTCTTGCTTTTCAAGCTTGTAAGTCATGAAATTGTGATAACCACTGGATTTCATGCTCAGCAAAGGAAAACACCACAATGCAAGTAATATAAACACCAATTATCTTTTTTAAGTAAAACATGCAGGTGTTCTGGGTACTTCTTTTCAGCAAAATTACAAGCATGGAGAACTCAAAATTCTAATACTCTCTCTCTATATATATATATCTGATTATCTGAAACCATATAACCAACCCCTAAATTAGGAAAAAAATTATTACACTTAATTTTTAATTGTTTTAAAAAAGAGACATTAAAATATCAGGAGTTCATATTTATTTAGAAGTTTCTGGGTGGGGGTAGGGACTGGGTAGATGGAAAATAGGAAGATGTTTAATGAATACCTTTTAAAAACTTTTGTATTTTTGATCCAAGTAAGTATATTACCTATTCAAAAAATTTTAATAAAAGGTATAGTTTGTGTTTGTTTGGGAGAGAGTATAACAAAGGCAAAACCTGGTAACTTTGAATCTTTGCACCTCCCAATAGGATGAGTGCTTTTTCCTCCCCAGTACTACTAAAAGATAAGGAAGAGGCAAGAGAAAGGACAGGTGCCTTCCCCTCTACTTCAACACATACCTAGACTTTAAGCTCCAAGGATGTGACAATTTTTTTTTTTTTTTTGAGAAAGGGTCTCCTCTGTCACCCAGGTTACAGTGCAGTGGCACAATCTCAGCTAATCGCAACCTCTGCCTCCCGGGCTCAAGTGATTCCCTCACCTCAGCCTCCTGAGTAGCTGGGACTACAGGCATGCATCACCAAGCTCAGCTAATTTTTTCTATTTTTTTGTAGAGATGAGGTTTTGCCATGTTGCCCGGGCTTGTCTTGAACTCCTGGGCTCAAGCAATCTACCTGCCTTGGCCTCCCAAAGTGCTGGATTACAGATGTGAGTTACGGCACCAGGCCAGATGTGAGAATTGAGTCAACTCTGTATCTCTGTATAGTCTGAATGCCCGGTGACTTGCACAGTGTAAACACTCTATTAGTATATGAGGAACGTGCTAGAAAATAGCTAACAGCCTTCCTGCCTGCAATTCATCTTTCACACTACTCCCATTCAACACAGACTAACAGTTACTCTGTGCATGGCACTATTTTAGGCACTGTTTCCCTCATGAAGCTTACATTCTGGTGTATATTTTCAACATACAGGAAGTAGCCATTTGGAAAGACAATCAGGAAGTACATATACAATTCTGAAATGTGCATACCTCAGCAATTTCAACTTCCAAGTATCCTCTAGGAAAATATACAAAACTGCCTAAGGATACAATATGTGCAAGGATGTTCATCTCAGTATTTGTCATAGCCAAAAAAAAAAAAAAAAGGAAGCAACTTAAATGTCCTTGAAATAGGAAATACCTAAAATATCAACTATCCATCCTATGGGCAGCTAGCTGAATTACTGAGTGAAAGAAAACCAAGTTACAGAAAAAACATACATAGAGTATGATCATATGATCCCTTTTTTTTATGTTAAAAAAAGCATAAAAGAGAGGTTTATGTGTACATAGAAAAAGGTCTGGACAATTATCCAACAAACCGTTGATAGTGTTTTCAGGAAGGAGGTGGCTTTCACTTCTTACTCTGTATGTCCACATTGCTTGGATTTAACAATTTATTTTGCAACTTTAAAAAATACCAACAGGAGAATTCAGAAACTACAGGTTGGAGCCTGAAGATGTAGAATTTTACCATATAAGAAGGTGGGGAAGATGGCCAGGGAGCATGAACAGCATGAGCAAATATAGAGAGGACTGACAGAACTCTGCTTTGGCTGAAAGCAGCAATGGGCAAGAACAGAAAGGCAGAGGACCTTAGCTGGTCTCTGGCCGCTGAAGGGGGCATGGCAGGTAGACAAGGGCCAGATGAAAAAAATCACCTTGAATGCCAGGATTAATACGTTTTTACTTTATACTGTTATAGCAGCAAGACATTATTAAAGGTTTTTGAGCAGGATCCCTTCCTTGTCCTATTTTGTAAAGATCACTTTGAGCTTTTTCCAAAGAGGCAATGAAATGAATAGAGCTAAAGAACTTGCAAGGTGAGACGGGCACACCAGGCTCCAAACGAGGTTCTTCCAGTTACTAGCTGTGTGGCTTTGGTCAAGGCTTTAATCTGTAAATTCTGGCGTTTCCTCCTGCTAATATTGAAAGGCAGAAAGTTAAATAATACCTTCATGATTTGGGTTGCTAAGATTAAACTAAATGAGATGACATACAGCAGGGCATGGCGCTAGCAGGCTGGTTACCACATCACTCTTTGATAGTGGGGAAAATGTGCTTCTTCCTGTATTTTATTGGAATTTGTTTCTACAACTGTACTACTTATCACGTAATGTTTACATGTCTGTCTCTTTCATTATACCGTAAGCTCCTAAAGGCAGGGCTGTGTGTTTTTTATCTACCGCTATCTCCTCAGAATTCATATCCTATGTGCCTGGCTTGCGGACTCATTACACGCTTGTTGAATGAATGAATGAATGAACGAATGAATGAATGAATGAGTGGACTGGAGGAAGGAGGACAATCAGGCAGCTGTTGCTGAGACCTCAGCAGAAGACCGCGCGGAGCTTGGACGCGGGCGACGGCGGTCCCCTCTCAACCCTCTGGGGGCCGTCTCGGCCGCTACTCCACGCCCCTCCACGTGGAGGCCGGGCTCCCGGAGGAACGCGCCAGGAACGGAGACCCGTGGTGAGGCCCGGGCTCCGTGTCTCCTCTGCCAGCCCCAGAGGCCCGAACCCCCTCACCTGGTCTCCAAGTAAACGTTGGGTGGTTGCCAGGAATCTGGGGGAATTGCCGCCATAGCGAAGCCGGCGGCGGAATGCTTCTCTAGCAATGGCTACTTCCGGCGTCGATTAGCTGGGGACCTGCCGCTGCTGCACACTTCCGGTCCCCGCCGTTCAACCCTTTCGATACCAGGATTTGGGTGGCCAGGACGAGGAAGAGGACGGTCCCTTCTTCCAATGCCGGGAAGCTGAGGTGGGAGGCGAGAAGAAACTGGGCGCGAGAACAGAGAAAAATGCAAACTTCATTCGCGGTGGTCTCCAAGTGGCGCCACTCTGGGCAATCTGATTGGTTCGTTTAGGCATGGAAGGCGGGAACAACCAAAAAAGCTAGGTTCTGGTTGGAGTTATGTCCTAACATTAAATTCGAAGAATTTCTTAGTCTCACAATTGGGCAAGGACGGGAAGGGGAGGCAGAGAATGAAAGGGAACAGTTTAGAGATGCCAGTAAATAATTTTTGTAAGGCGCTGTACGATGTACACAGTGCTTGCACTTTCTTATCTCATCTACTCCACAAAACAATTCTGTAAGTAGATAGTATTATTCCCATTTTTCAGATCTGAAAACAGACTCGGCAGTTAAATACTTGTTTTTACATAGGCATAAAGCAAATCTGAGCCTGCAGAATCCAAAGACAAGGAGTCTGAGGAGAAGAGAGAGGGAAGGGGCAGGAAGAAAATGGGAGATAAAGAAAGGAAGACACAGGAGAAAGCAGGACAAAGGGATCAGAGCAAGAACAAGGCTTAACATCATTGGTTGGGATAGATGGTACCTGAAAGTTGTTAGGAGGGTTTGCGCAGGGCCCGAGGAAGAGAAGCCAATTAGAGGAGCTATAATGTTTGGACGGAAGACAAGAATGAAATAGAGTAACTAAACTTATGCTGTAAATGCTTTGCACACCACTTAATAATGATGGTTGAATGTTTACTATGTGCCAGGCATCAAGCTAAGCATTTTATTGCGTATTTTCACGCTTAATCTTCAAAACCCCACAAGGTAGATATTACTATTTCCATTTTACTTTGAGGAAGCTGAGCCTTACAGATTAAATAACTTGCTTAAAGTACTACAGCTGGTGCACTTGTGCTCTTAACGACAGTTCAACTGTAGTGTCCCTAATTGTCAACAAGGAATAAGGATGTACAAGGTTGTAAAGATAAACTAGACAGTTCCTTGAGAGAGGAGCTGGGCATCCTTCATCTTTGTGCTCTTCTTGCACAGTACTGAGCACAGGGTGCTCAGCTTTTGTTGAATGAATAATAAACGGAACACTACATTTTAAACTGATAAGTGCTAAAGTATAATTTTTACACCTCCTGCAATCTGAAGTTCATGCCCACCTTGTGGCCCTTGAGCTGGATGAAAAAGTCTTAATCCTTGGTCTGTTTAGTCTGTTGTTAATTTGAGTTGCCCTTCTCTGGACTTTATGTAGTTCCTTACTGTATATCCTGGGAGGCATGTGCCATTCCCAGGCTCCAATGTCTGAATATTGAAAAGCCACCCCCAAGATCATGATCACTTTCTTCCTAAATCTTTTACTGCAGCTCCTACCAGTCACTTGGCACTGAGGAGACAGAGATGAGTCTCACACACACAGTGCCCTGCCCTAAAGAAACTCACATTCTAGGAGAGATAGGCAAATAAATACGTAGCTAAAGGAGCGTGGAATGAGGACTGTAATAAGAAGCACACAGTAAGTTGGGTGCAGTGGCTCACACCTGTAATCCGGCACTTTGGGAGGCTGAGGCGGGCAGATCATCTGAGGTCAGGAGTTCAAGACCACCCTGACCAACATGGTGAAACCCTGTCTCTACTAAAAATACAAAATAAGCTGGGCATGGTGGTGCATGCCTGTAATCCCTGCTACTTGGGAGGCTGAGGCAGGAGAATCACTTGAACACGGGAGGAGGAGGCTGCAGTGAGCAGAGATTTTGCCATTGCATTCCACCCTGGACAACAAGAGTGAAACTCCGTCTCAAAAAAAAAATAAAAGAAAAGAAAAAGAAACACACAGTTTTCCCTAGCTCTGGTTACTCCAGAGTAGGTTTGGACAGTCAAAAATTTCCCCTGGAGTGATAGTCTGGGTTGAGATCCAGAAAATAAATTGGAGTTAGCCAGAAGCCATGAGGGGTCAAATCAAATCACGAAATAAAATGTCTCCAATTCCTCAGAAGCCCCCCTACCAATCATTACCCATTCCTTCCTCCCAAAGGGTAAACCACTTTCTGCCTTCTAATATCATAGATTGGTTTTCCCTGTTTTTGAATTTTATATAAATGGAGTTATAAAGTACGTATTTTTTTGTGCCTGGCTTCCTTTCCTTAGCAATATGTTTGTGAGATGTATTCATGTTGTATGTAGTGGCCATTTTTCATTTTTCCTTGCTGTGTAGTATTCTGTTGTACAAACGTACCACAATGTATAATGGTGCTGTGATGGATATTTGTGTATGTATCTTAGTGCACTTGTGCATGAATTTTTGGGAGTATATACCTAGAAGCAGAATTGCTGGGTCATAGGTAATATGTATAATTTAGTAGTTAACACTAGACTGTTCCAAAGTGACTGTAGCAATTTTTTTTTTTTTTAGACACAGTCTCACTCTGTTGC